CAGGTTGAAGTTGAGGTACAAAATGGTGAGGATGTAGAGCTTGAGGAACAGATGTGGGAGCTGATGGGTTCATAGCATTTGATTGTGGAGCATAAGATGTAGGAGGTAGTAAATGAGGAGAACTGTAGGCAGAAGAAGAGGGTACGTACGCTGTTTGTGAACTGTACACAGAACTATACTGATTTGTTGATGGTCGAACAGCTGGTTGTTGACCTGCTGATGAAGATTTGTACGCATTTTCTGCTGGTTTATATGTAGGCGGCTGTTGGTAGTTTCCATAAGATTGTGATTGAACTTGATATCTACCGTACCTATCATTATACACACTAGGCATAGATGAATGGTATGAGTAACTGTGCAGAGCAGGAGGATGATGAAGGCTAGAAGGCACGTTGTGAGCATATCCGGCCAAATTTGGTTGGCATGTTATAACCAGCCCATTGTGGCTTCGATGCTTCTCTGCGTATTGAGGAACTACTGGAACATATGAAGTAGCGCCATAACTTCGCGAACCGTAATTTGATGCTCCATGGCTTGTTGATCTCATTTGTTGCTCAGACACTATCGTCGAATCAGAATTAATTTCGTCGGCGTGAGACATCCTCATTAAATGTCCGCCGTGTTCTTCAATACCGCTGTCTTCACTTTTGGATCTGTAGGAACCATATGATGCACCATGACCAACATACTGTTTTGGTGTTGGCGTTGGTGGAGAATATGTTTTGATAGGAGCAGAGTATATAGCATTCGCTTTGGGTTGACTTGGAGGTTTGTACACGTCAGGCTTCGGTTGATCTTGAGGCACATAATTTGGGGCGGCAAAGTAAGCTGAATAAGTTTGAACAGAAGTCGGCTCTTGTGGTTTTGCAGGTTCAGAGGGTTCACAAACTTGGAAAGGTCTCTGGAATGGCCCGGTCGGTCTTATTTCTACACAAAATGTTGTGGTTGCGGATTTTTTCGCCCTTTTAATTTCATTGTCTTCACTGATCTCTTCTGCAGGAGAAATTGCTTCTATATCTTGGGATTTCGTGTCTTCTAAGTTTCTGCCTTCTTCTATGTTGGCTAACGCATTTGTTGTAACTAATAAAATACTTAACACTTTAATGACGTACATAATTGCTTAGTATACCTACGATTAACAAGTAAATATTAGTGTCTGGCAGATATATACTTCATAAAACTGCTGCATGTGCATGTTATTGTCAATGTAACTTTCATTTAAACCTTGTTTTAAATAACTAACATCATAACAATGACGAGTGAAGGATCAAAATAATTTACAATTGAAGTAACTGACCTAGATATAAATAATGTTGATATTTACTGAATTAAAAGAACATTTAAAAGAGTAGAATTCTGTGACCTTTCATGACGTTTATTTTATTTTTTTAATTTTTTAAGGATTACATTTAGCAACTAACACGGCCGTTTGATAAAAAATTAAGAAATGAAAAATTGGTCAAACACTTTGTTCCACGACCTGTGTTTAAAAGTTAGTACGACTTAGGAAAGGTTTTAAGAAAAATGCTGCTTTCGTTTTTTTTGTATGTTTTGACGAGAAGAATCGGATGTGAAAATCGTTACGAATTATTAACAGAAGGCTATGTACGCATTGGAATGAAACAACTGTCAACAACTGAAACATTTTAACGAACAATTAAGCTGTTTTTTTTTTTAATAAATTTCGTTGTAAGATAGGAATAATAACTGTGAGAAAATTGAATTAAGAAACCATAAATTAAACAGTTACACAAATCTCAATCTCAAACGATGAATTTTTCTAATCGAATTCGAACACTTATTTAAAAATAAATGAAAATTAAACTAAACTTTAGGAAAATAAATAACCATTGAATAGTAAAGTTATAAACTGTTCTCTCTAAACTCATCTCATCTAAACCTCAATAATATAAAAATCCTACAGTTTGAATTATTACTATCATTATTTATTTATTTTTGTTTGTTTTAATTACTTCATTCATTAATTTACTTAGTTTAAACATCCTTAATGATATGTGAATATTTAAGGGTGTGTTTCTACACGAAAAATTAATGATAGTTTGCTTTATAAACTATGGTCCAAAAATGTTCCGCTACGAAAATATGGGGTGTTAAAATTTAAGGAAAAAGAAGGAAATTAATTAATATTTTCGAAACCACTTGAGATATTTCATTTAGTACGTAGTGATTGTGATAAAGGCGCGTGTTTTTCAATACAAACATAATTTTTAGCTCTAACAGTAGCGAGCGTATGAGAACTGACTTTTTAAAGAACAAAATGGCACGTCAATGGTATTTTTCCAATATTTTCTTAAAATGCTGCTTAAAATGCTTTTCTTAAAATTTTTCCAAGCGACAACACAAAGTATTTTTTTTATAGAAATTGTGGTAAACTTAAATTTCCTGAAACTGATAATATATGTCGAAATTAAATAAGGGTATTTTTTTCTCTCATAGGGATTAATATTCTTCAAGTATTAATGAAAATGGGGTAAAAATAAAAAAACTGGAGACAAAATAGTAACAGACACTCCCTAAAGTGGTGGTGTACAGTAAATAAGTTCGTGTCCAGATGCCTACATGTAAGTTTAAAATATCTCGAAGGACTTTTAAGATATTGCAAAACATAGGTATCTACCATTCCATTCTAAAGGGCTATATCTTCCTTATTATTCATATTGGAAAAAGTTTTTTATTACAGTAGGTATCTCTGAAACTGAAAGAGGTAAAAGACTTTAACGACTATATTATACAGGGTGTCTCAGATATTACTGGCATATTTGCAAGGGGTGATTGTACACCCCTTTACAATTACAATTTACAATTTGTGATTGAAAATGCATGAATTTTTTTGTAATGGGATTTTTTGGGTCTATGATTACGAATCTGGACATTAAATCACGAAATTCAAAATGGCGGATTCAATATGGCGGACAAAAAAATTAAAATGTCTTTAAAATGCATGATTTTTGTGTAGTGGGGTTTTTGGGTCTCTGATTACGAATTTGAAAGCAGAATTACGAAATTCAAAATGACACATTCCATATGGCGGACAAAAATATTTGAAAATCTTCATAATCCTCAAATATTTGTTTGTAGAAACTTTCTTGGATCACTTAAATATTATGTATTTTAAAGACGATTTCAATGAATAATTATTTGTTCAAAATAATCAAAACTTAAAGTAGGTATCTTAAAGTATAATTAAGACAGTGGCGTACTATTTTTATTGTAAGTAAAATAAGTGTGCCACAGAGTTTCTACGTCACTGGTGATAATGGGAATATTTGCACCTACGGAATTATTAGACCAAAGATATCCCATTACAACTTAGGATTGTTGTTGTTTTATCACGAAGGTTTTCCAAGTAAATAAAAAATGTAATAAAAATTTAGAAATTTTTGACACCCTGTACAGGGTGATTCACTATATTTTGACCCCCCCTTTAACTTTTTTGTCTTAAGAGTTATAAAAAAATGTGAAATATAAAAGTTGCACGAGTTTTTATGAATTTTTCGAAAATGGTAGTAGAAAAACAAATGAAGTCCAAACAAAATGGCCGCGGATGTTAACTTTGTTAAGTTAAATGGAACACCCTGTACATTTTTACATATTTGGATAGAACGTTCCCTGTCGAGCATAGTCATGTAGGGTTTGTTGGGTCCATCTCTAACAATAAGCGAGATACTATTAAAAAACGAAAAGAAGGTTTTTTATTAAGAAAATAAGACATCTTGTAATTGTTAAACCTTTTTCAGGCATTTCTGCTTTTTCCAATTACGTAAGGATTTACAGATTTAGTTATAATATATTTTGACAGATCAGACATTGATATGGTCCAAAATGCGTATAGGTATTTTAACTAAATCTCACTAATTAGGCCGTGAGATACCTAATTACTCATGAACAATGTTATATGGTAAGCCGTGACAGTGACAGGTAATGTCACGACAACATTGTTTTTGTTTGACAATTTATATTATTATTAGTTAAAATGGGTTACACAGAAGTAGAAAATTGAAATATTATAGGAATTAAAATAGAGCACAGTTCTTCTCCATACTCTATTTTAATTCTAAATAATTGTCTACTTCTGTGTAATTTATTTTAATTAAATATTACATACATTACATATTACATACTATCAATCAATAACAATGTTGTCAAGACATTACTATCTGTCACTGTCACGACTAGGGTTACCAGATGTATTTCATGACAGACCCGGAGAAATTGATACCTAAAAAAAAGGCCTGGGAAAGTCTGGGAGTCTAATTGTTTTCGAAGAAATCAATCTCTAAAAAAAAAGGCTCTGCAATCGGATAAATCGATGTCTAAAAAAAAGGTACCATCAAAACCCGAAGACTCCGGATCAAACCCGGAGATCTGGCAAGTCTAGTCACGACCTACCATATAATGTCCATGAGTAATTGTAATTAGACCTTTCACGGCCTAATTAGTGATATTTGGTTACATTACCTATACGCATTTTGGACCGTATCAATGTGCGATATATCAAAATATATTATAACTAAATCTGTAAATCCTTACGTAATTGGAAAAAAGGCAGAAATGCCTGAAAGAGGTCTAAAAATTACAAGATGTATTATTTTCTTAATAAAAAACCTTCTTTTCGTTTTTTAAAAGTATCTTGCTTATTGTTAGAGATGGACCCAACAAACCCTATATGACTATGCTCGACAGGGAACGTTCTAAATATGTAAAAATATACAGGGTGTTCCATTTAACTTAACAAAGTTAACATCCGCGGCCATTTTGTTTGGACTTCATTTGTTTTTCTACTAGCACGAAAAAAAAACTAATAAAAAATCGTGCAACGTTTATATTTCACATTTTTTTATAACTTTTAAAACAAAAAAGTTAAAGGGGGGCAAAATATAGTGAATCACCTTGTACCTCGGAGACGGTGAACTTTTAGATACAGAAATATTTGAGTAAATATCATTTCATTGTACTGTAGAACCACTCCTTGGGCAAGGATGCCAGTAATACCTGAGACACCCTGTATATATATATATTCAATTTTCATGTCAGTGTTAACGTAATATACAGAATGGAAGAAATGGATCTTATTTGTGGAAGGGCGAAATGGGCGGTGACTATTAGACGCCTTCATCTTAATGTCGTGTATATTGCAGAAAAGGTCAGTTATTAAAGGTTAATTTAAGTGTCAATATCCACACAGTTAAATATATTTTATTTATACAGGGTGTTTCAGGATTAAGTCGACAAAGGAAAAGGGCCCCTAAGGCCGGTTTTTGGCCTAATTTATTTTTGATTGAAAAAAATCTGAAAAATTTTTTTTTAGTACCTACTAGCAATACTGAATCGTTTCCACCCTAAACGGACCAATTCCCTCACCCTCCTTTTCTCCTCCACCCCATTAAATGACGGGGAAACCATCGCTTATTAGAGGAATCTTTAAAGAGCTTAGAGATGCGAATGACATTCAATTTCTATGAATCTTACATATGACGAGTTTTTTGAGTCGCTGATCACGAATCTGATCTCAGAATCACGAAATTTAAAATGGCGGATCCAATATGGCGGACAAGAAAATTGAACTGTCTTCAAAATGCATGAATTTTTTTGTAATGGGGTTTTTTGAGTCTATGATTACGAATCTGGACTTTAAATCACGAAATTCAAAATGGCGGATTCAATATGGCGGATTCAATATGGCAGACAAAAAAATTAAAATGTCTTTAAAATGCATGAATTTTTGTGTAGTGGTTTTTTTGGGTCTCTGATTACGAATCTGAAGGCAGAATTACGAAATTCAAAATGACGCATTCCATATGGCGGACAAAAATATTAAAAAATCTTCATAATCCCCAAATATTTGTTTATAGAAACTTTCTTGGATCACTGATTACAATTATAAATTCAGAATCACTAAATTCAAAGTGGCTACTCAAATATGCACAAATATGTATGTATAATTACATAATGATTTTTTCTTTTTCCTTTTATTCAATGTAAATGTGTGTCATCTCATTTAAGGGGGTGGAGGTGGAAAGGAGGGTGAGGGGGTTGGTCCGTTTAGGGTGGGTATTGCTAGCAGGCAAGTACTAAAAAAATTTTTTTCAGATTTTTTTCAGCCAAAAATAAATTAGGCCAAAAAGAGGCCTTAGGGGCCCTCCTCCTTTTGAAGACGTGTTCCGCTGGTCAAAATAAGTATAAAATATATACAGGGTGATTTCACTTTAAATAATAAATGGATTAGTTGCCAAAAAATAAGTGGAATTCGCTTTATAAATTTTTTTCTTGGTATTCGAGATACAGGGTGTTCAAGTTTCCAAAAAAAATTATATTTTCTATTACATCTTCATACTGCGCTGAACGATTTGAATGAAATTTACTACAGCGTATTCACTTAATTAGACCTTCTATTAAATGTAATATTAGCTTCGTGGCGTTAACCAGTGGCGTGCTACTGAAGGTGCCGCTCCGTTTTCCCAAGAAAAAATACGCCACTGGCGTTTTTTTGTAAAAATAATGTTACATTCAGGTACTGTTATGTTAACTGAATGAAAAGTGTTTCTTGGTACTTTTTAATAGTAGCATTCGTTTAGGAGATAACTTACTTATTTGCCGACCACAATGCGCAAATTTAGTCCACATACTCATATTTGTTTAAAATCCATATGCAAAAATTAATTCTTTTGTCTGCATTAACAGTTAGTAAGCTTTATAATGATCTCGTTTTAGTGTTACAACTAGCTTTGTTTATTTATCCCTGAAGCTCCAGTCCTTCTTGGGCTTATGAACACGAGACGAATTGTAATCTCTTCAGGGAAAATCATGTCATGATAAGTTCCTCTAGGTATAAATAGCCTGATTAGATGTCAAAAGTGTATTGGTGCGGAAGCGGAAAGACTTCGTTTTGAACAATTGTTGTTGGACTGTTGTTGTTGTAGGATTGTTATTATTTTAATATTTAGTATGATATTTTTTCCAGAAATAAAATTATTTCTACAAAAAAGCGTCAGTGGCGTATTCTTTACTTAGGAAAAGTTGGCGGACTCTTTAGTAGCACGTCACTGGTTAAAACCAAGAGATTTCATTAAATCAATTGATTAATTTATTAGGAAAATTCAATAGAACGTAAAAAAATCCCAAATATCGCCTAAACGACAGCTACTATAAACAAAACACCAAGAAACATTTTTCATTCAGTTAACGTAACAGTACCTGATTATAACATTATTTCTAAAAAATACCGCCAGTGCCAGTGGCGTATTTTTTTCTTGGGAAAATAAGGCGATACCTCCAGTAGCACGCCCCTGGTTAAAGCCATAGGGTTAATATTACATTCAATAAAAGGTCTAATTAAGTGAATACCCTGTAGTAAATTTCATTCAATTCCATAAGCGCATTATGAAGATATGGCAGAAAATATATATTTTTTGTAAACTTTAACATCCTGTATTTCGAATACCGAGTCCCGCGGGAATAAAATTTATAAAACAAACTCTACTTAATTTTTGGTAATGAATCTAGTCCTGCAGTTTCTGTATCTAAAGTGAAATCACCCTGTACAAACATATGGCCGCAAACGCTTTGTTTTCCAGATACAGGATGTTTAGAATTTCATAAAACTATTGATATTTTTTAATATCTTGAAAGCGAACAAAGATTTTTAAGTAAAAGTGAAACAAAAATTGACAGTAAATAGCCTCGAAAATCTAAGGAAAAGTATAATCCAGGCATGTCGAGAACTCCACTTGTCGATCGGTCGCCAGATTCATAATTAGGAGATGTCGAGCTTGCTTATAAGCCCGAGGCAATCATTTTAGACAAAGTGCTTTCTAAAGAATTTATTTTCATATTGATATTACTTTTTTATGTTCCATTTGTAGTTATAATTTATTGTTTTAACTACTTTCATGTTACGCGTGAAAATAAATAAAAATATTTTAAACTAATAAGAATGATAGCATTGAAACTGGAGACAAATTTTAACAAAATTCTACAAATTCTTTGAAGTCACTTCTACTCATGCCCGGATTATTAATTGATTTAGATTTTCAATGTTGTTAACTGACAATTCGAATACACTGGTTTTAAATTAAAATAATCCATGCAGTCGGATGTAAATAACGTGAACATTGCGGGTTCACCATTACCATATCTGATAATAATGAATGTCTACCTAAGTTTGAGGTGAACAACAACGGATTTAGAAAATTTCCTTAACTATAGCCATTAATAAGTTTATGAGATGAACTTAAATAAATAATCTAAATTTGTCGTGAAACGTAGCAAACACAAGAAAAACTCAAGTTGCATTTTTTACCAAGATAAAATATTTCATTCAAAAATGGTACCAGATTACCTACTCGATTTGCTGAATTAATAATAATTGAACTGCCTACCCATATAACCACCACTGATGGCTAGTTATATTTATTACTGTCACATATTGCGACAAACTATTTAATCATAAGTCACACCAAGTTTTACTTAAATATCTCTACTCACTTTCAAAATATTAAAATATATCATTATTTTTTTTAATTTATAACACCCTGTATCTCGAAAACGAGGTATTTGCGGCCGTATGTTCATATACTTTTTTTTACTTATTTTTACGTGAGGAATATGTCCTCAAAATATGTCTACTTAATGACAAATTATTTAAGTACGTATTTATTCACAATAAATCTGCAAAATACCTTTGCAACATCTCATTTTTCCTTGGAATAGATAGTTGATTTTTGTGCATTATTCTTGCAACAGGTGTGATGGAATGAGATCTTGGATTGAAGTTTTCAAAAACCTTTAACGATGTTGCAATTTTGAGTAGGTTTCGATTATCTTCTGATTCTCACAATTTAGTTTTAATTGTCATTTCAGATATGCACAACTCATAGATTAATGTTCACATGATTACAAAATCTTATCACATTCCGCTATTTCAGAGTAAACTTCTCTTTTGTGTGTCACAAATAATAATTATTGCAATAACTTTTTTGTAAATGAAGGGACAATTTTGTTATTTAATTGAACGTAAATGTTATGCTTTTTATAAAATAATATACCTACAAATGTTTTTTTAAGCTTTAATGAAGGAAATGTTTAAAACTACTGGTTTTAAAGATACGATGGGTTGTTTTTGAAGAATATCACATGTAGGTATACAAAAATTTCATTACTTTTTTATACAGAAATTATGTATCACGTTATCCCTCAGGAAATTCAAAATTCTTTAATAATGTTTGCTTTTTTGATTACTACATTTTACTCAAAATCACGTATTTTTTAAAAGTATCGTATATCTTTTAAACAGATATACAGGGTGTCCCTGAAAAGGACGGACAACGATTGACCACAGGTTCCCTGGACAAGACTATTTAGCCTAACTTACCTATATACAAAAGTGCACGCCTACTGAGATATAGCCTTCTAAATATAGAACAAATAACCTAGTTTTTTTTCAAATAATTTGAAAACTGTTTTTCTTAGAAACTTCAAATTTGGTACACATATTTTTTTATATAAGGGCAATGTAAATATAGAATTTGGTGAGAATACATATACAGGATGTTCTCTTTCTAGTGCCTGTGCGCCACTGGCTATCCCGTAACTTTTTTGTATGTACGCCAATGACGACAGAATTTATATTTTTAAAAATAAGCACTATTTTAGAAGATTTTTTGCCTCTTACAAAATTTTGATATCGTTTATGGATTTCGAGTAAAATTGGCATTTTTTACACATTAAATAATATAAAATCAGTTTAAGATAAATAGAACATTCTAGTACGAGGTGCCATATAACAGAGAAACAAATTCATAACAATAATTAAAAGGTTCTGTGTCAAGCTAGCTGTGATTTAATTTTAGCTTACTTTGTTTTTTATTGCAATTTATACTTTTGCTGAACAAACTGATATGTTAGTAGTTTTGGGTTATTGTGAAGGAAATTGTTGTGCTACTGTTCGAACATATGCTGAAAGATTTCCTAATCGAAGAACTCCAAATCACAAAACATTTGCTAATGCGGAGAGACGCCTTCGGGAAACAGGACGTTTTTTACCTGTAACATTAAATCGTGGATAATGTACGGCCGGAATTATTCAGCTGGAGGAACAAATTTTGGAAAGGGTCGAAGAAATTCCTCAAGTAAATAAAAGGCGTTTAGCGGCAGAGGTTGGCTTTCAAAAAGTTCCTTTAATAGAGTATTAAAAGACCAGTTATTACAGGTTACAGGTATTACAGGGTACAGGTAGGTATTACAGGTTATTAAAGGTCTAACAGGTGGATAGGTAGAGGAAATAATGCCCCTTTAAAATGGCCACCTCGATCCCCGGACCTAAACCCATGTAATTATTTCATTTGGGGAGCGTTGAGGACCACAGTTTAAAATAACTTTTCAGTAAATACAGAAAACGAATATGGGAAAGAATACAACATGAAATTAATGTTATGAGAGGTAATGCACAATTATTGGATAATTTCTAATTTTCGAAGAACTAATGTTTGCGTTTAAGAACAAGAAAGTAACTTTGAGCATTTACTGTAATATTATTTTAATGTGATTACAAATATCAGTTTATTTAAAATGTTAATGTTGACTTTCTTACATTATTAGTTGATATTGTTTATTTAAAATATTAGTGTTGATTTTTATTTTATTGATTGATAATACTAATACCAAAAATGTGTAGTTATTTTTTTTAATGTGACGTTTTTTCATTATTATTCCCTGCTTTGAGGCTGCAGTTATAAATTATTTTTTATAAATCGGAATTTTTGCCTATATTTAATGTATAAAAAATTCGAATTTTATTCGAAATCCATAAACGATATCGAAATTTTGTAAGAGCAAAAAAATCTTCTAAAATAGTGAATATTTTTAAAAATATAAATTCTGTCGTCATTGGCATACACACAAAAAGTTACGGGATAGCCAGTGGCGTACAGGCACTAGAAATAGAACATCCTGTATATGTATTCTCTCCAAATTCTATATTTACCTTGCCCTTATATAAAAAAATAAGTGTACCAAATTTGAAGTTTCTAAGAAAAATAGTTTTCAAATTATTTGAAAAAAAATAGGTTATCTGTTCTATATTTACAAGGCTATATCTCAGTAGGCGTGCACTTTTGTATATATGTAAGTTAGGCTAAATAATCTTATTTTCATCCAAGGAACCTGTGGTCAAGCGTTGCCCATCCTTTTCAGGGACACCCTGTAGACATTGAAACGTGGTTTTCGCAATATAATCTTTGTTTTATTGTGGCATGATGGAATTGAATTATTTCTGGTACAAAGATTCCGAAAAGAACCCTCAAATTATTTTTTTGTTTTACTTTACTTTACTAAAAGACTGTTTAAATTTATTTAATAATAAAGTCGCCACTGCATTTAAAAACGACTATTAAATTAGATATGCCTATATACAGGGTGTCCGCTTTTAGCGACAGCGTTTGACTGCATATTCAGGACGATAAATAAAAGCGATCTACAAAAAAAGTTATATAAAAAATGTATGGCTTTCAAAGTTGACAAAAATAAAACTAATTTAATTAATAACTTCATAACCCTTTTGCCGATCGCGCTCAAGTTTGGCACCTTTATTTGGACTATTATGGCGTATTATTTCTTAAAGCTTTGGTCAAATTGATATACTGGGTGATAGTTTTCTCCGGTTACCTCTCCCTTTTAGCGGTCAAAACTTTTATAGTGGTCGTATTTTTTTAAAAACTAGCAGCAACATTGAAAATGTCGTTTCATTTAAAGAAAATATTGTCCCTGGAGAAAATCGCCTACAGAAAGCCATTCTTGAGAAAAATTACATTATTTGCAGGTTTGTGCATTTCGGTTTGTGACGGATTTGAGTTCAGTAGGCGATGAAAACAAGATGTTGATTGATGTGGCATCAGGTTATGTCATTATGGTCGTGTTTCTTGAGGATTCTCATCACTCCGCACATGCAAATTATGAAAATTTACAACTCCGTTCCTTGTAAAACAAGATTTGTAGGTACAAAACTATTTTTGGAGCAAATTATTATCTTCTGCGAAGCCATTCACCAACCAGTAGCAAAATTGTAAACGTGCGTTGGGATCTAAATTTTCAAGTTCTTGAGCAGAAGTTAAATGAAATGTCCGAAGACGTTGCTTTTTTAAAGTTTTGTGAACATTAGTTTTACATACCTTTAATTGTCTTGATACACTGCGGACTCTTCATAATTTGCATGTGTGGAGTGATGAGAATCCTAAAGAAACACGACAATAATGACATTACCTGATAGCCACAGCAATCAACATCTTGTTTTCATCGCCTACTGAACTCAAAGTTTTAAATCGTGATACCGCTACGCAAACCGAAACGCACAAACCTGCAAATAATGTCACTTTTCTCAAGAATAGCTTTCTGTAGGCGATTTTCTCAAGAGACAATATTTTTTTTAAATGAAACGACCTTTTCAATGTTGCTGCCAGTTTTAAAAAATACGACCACTGTAAAAGTTTTGACCGCTAAAAGGGAGAGGCAACCGGAGAAAACTATCACCCAGTATATCAATTTGACCAAAGCTTTAAGAAATAATACGCCATAATAGTCCAAATAAATGTGCCAAATTTTAACGCGATCGGTAAAAGGGTTAGGAAGTTATTCATTAAATTAGTTTTATTTTGACAACTTTGAAGGCCTGTAACTCAAAAACCAAAAAGTTTTTATTTAACTTTTTCGTAGATCGTATTTTTTTATCAATGTGGATATGCAGTAAAACGCTGTCGGTGAAATTTGCGGACACCCTGTATAATTATTTGAAATTGCTGGACCCATTAAATCCGTTTTGATATAAATTAATCTCTAAAATGTTTTAGAGATTTTCGGTATTTTAGTTTAATGTTTTCATTTTTGTAAAAAGGTTTTTTAATGAACGGAAATCAAATATCTATAAAAATAAAAAAGTTACTGGGGTGTATTAGTGAAGTATAACAGTTTTATGATATTACACATTATGTATCAAAAATGTAACTATATTATGTTTTCATAACATTTTATTTATTGTCATATTACAAACTATACTAAGCATTCTTTGAAGTTTCATTCACTATGTTGAAAATTGCAAAAACAAATATTATTTATTATTGCACGCGTCATGCAAACAAAGCGATAAACAAAGCTTCTACTTTTGTTTTTAAATGTGAATCTCTACGTGACACTATGCAAGATCGTGATTTCCAAATATTGTTGTTAGCAACAAAGAAAATATTCAATACCAATAATATATACAGGGTCGGAAAGTCCCCATGGTTCATCGGCCGTTACGTGAGAGCGATAAAGAAAATCTTAGAAATCCGTGCGATAGAGAAAGATGGCTATAATAATAAGATCCACTTCTTATTTGTGGAAGGGCGAAATGGGCGGTGACTATTAAACGCCTTCATTATAGCCATCTTTCTCTGTCGCACGGATTTCTATGACTTACTTTATCGCTCTCACGTAACGGCCGATGAACCATGGGGACTTTCCGACCCGGTATATATTATTGGTATTGAATATTTTCTTTGTTGCTAACATATATATACTATAAATATACAGGGTGATCCATTAAGAATGGAAACACTCGAGTACAAAAGTTGTTTATGGACCGATTTGAACCGAGTTTATTTAAAGATAGATCTCTAAAAGCTCTATCTCGATGCAAAATTTGAAGACGAAATTTTGATTTTCAAGGCCTACTACGAATTTTTTTTAAGTGAAAAATAGCAAAATTTTGTTAGCGATTTTTTAATAAAAAATCTGACTACACCACTGGATTTAGGAACTCCTCAAATGCATTTTTACCAATTTTTGCGATGTTTTTGTTTCCCTTTGGGTTCTATTCGGTTTTTATAAAAGAATAGGTTCACCGACAACGGCAAACACTGGTGATGCCGATATTGTTATAACTTTTTTAGGGTAAAACTTTTTTTCCCAAAAATTGGTACAAATGCATTTGAGGGGTTTCTAAATCCAGTGGTGTAGTCAGATTTTTTATTAAAAAATCACTAACAAAATTTTGCTATTTTTCACTTAAAAAAAAATTCGTAGTAGGCCTTGAAAATCAAAATTTCGTCTTCAAATTTTGCATCAAGATAGGGCATTTGGAGATCTATCTTTAAAAAAAAAAACG